ATCAAGTGTTAGCCAGCACTTCTTCAATACTGTCCACTTAAACACACACACACACACATCGTCCCAAGAGAGATCATTATCACATCCACCTGCATCACACACGCGAGACACTGAGCTGCACAGATACTGCACACACACACACACACAGAAGCAAGTGCGCTTTAAGGCTTGTTAACTAAACTCTGAGTGCTTCCACATTGCTGAACCTCAAAACAATTGGTCTGCCGTTCATTTTCCCTGATTCACACTGAATCCAGGGACAGACTGACACTGCGGTGAACGTAATGTAACCCTGGACAGAAAAACATCTGCAGAACTTGAAAAGTTCACGTCAGATAATTACACAAAAATCACATTTGCAATACGACAAACTTCCACAATATGACACATTTCTGAGTTAAACTAAGTATCCAGTGGGAAATAATGAACAGCAGTACTTGATTTTAAAATGAGTACTTTTAAAAAAAAAGTTTTGCTATTTTATGTTTTAAAAGTCAGCTAAATTATTAAAAGTATGACATATTCAGGGCTGAATCTGTCATTTCGTGGCACAAGCACAGGTAAACGTCAAATATCTACTAACTACATACTTTTGAAATAAAAAAAAATCAGCATTGTCAGCAGAAACGTTTTTTTCAGAGGGTTATTTCTTTGAAAACTATTTGGATTTCACAGAAAGAGAAAAAAAAAATGTTGTTGTTGAATTCATCAATAATGTGTGTGTGTGTGTATGTGTATGTTAGTTCACAGTTCATTAACTAATGTTAAATGTTTTAGTAAATGCCTAGAATAACATTAATAAACGCTGTAGAAATTAGTTCATGCTAACTAATGCAGTAAACTAATGTTCACAAATTAAACCAAATAAAGAAAGCAAATATAATTTCCTCTTGAACAGCATGCACTGATGAATCATGCATAATAATTTAAGCACTTATTAAAGTCTGTCCATCTACTGATGAAATATATGAAAATGCATGAACTGATTAAATGTACATGGTCTTAATGCACCGAGAGTCACTTTGGATAAAAGCACCTGCCAAATGCATAAATGTAAATGTAAATGAAATATCTAATGGTCAGGCTGACTTTAGCAAATACAATCTGTGTTCATGCATTTGGCAGATGCTTTTATCCGAAGTGACTTATGTTGCATTTAAAGTCTGCGTTTGATCAGTTCATGCATTCCTTGAGAATCAAACCAATGACCTTTGCGTTGCTCTAGTGTTTCAGCTGCTGTGATTTTTTTGACATGTTCTGAAGCTATATTTCACTTGCTCTATTTACAGATTCTCATACCTCCACATTAAGCCTCCATCTTCCACATCTGATGCTAGTTAAGTACGTTGGAGGTGCAGAAGTGTTAGACGGTCTCATGACTAATGAGTTCCACATTCTCCATGTGAACTTTAGAAAGGCACGCTGGGAAATGCTGCATGTCGTTCTATAAGGAGCTGCAGATAAAAGCAGATCCACACTGCCCTCTACTGACACCACAAACCATCATACTGAACACTCAAACACAACACTCACTACATGGAACTGAACTCAGTTCACCTCTGACACTAGAGAGACTTCAACATGTTTACACAATGAAAGTGTCAAGAATAAAATTCAACATATTTACTTAGACACAAAATGAAGAAAATATGTCTGTTCTTATGTGTGTGTGTGTTCTCACCAGCAACAGAAAAAAAACAAGCAAACATAAATTCGGTAAATAATAATATAAAATAAAAATACAATTATAATAAACATTTCTGTTTATTTCTCCAGATGATTTTTTAGGAGAAACATTTGTGACAAATTCTCTAACTGAGGTTTAGGATCTTCTTATGGTTTTCTTGTCTCTAATGAGGAGCGTTTGTAGCGTTTTATGAGCCGTTTAAATGAAAGTCAATGAAAGCAGTGGTGCAGCTGAACGGCCCCCGTGAGGACCGGTGGTGCGCCTCATTCTGTTTGCTTTTAAATGAAGCCAGACCGCAGGGATCCACTTCAAAACCAGCTGACCAGAACTTAAAATACCCATTTGCAGAGCGATTTGGAAAAGATTACAGCTGAGCCATTATCTCATAAGCCTGACATATCTGTGCGCTGAATACAAATCAGCGCTTACTGCTGAAAACAGCACTCACGCTAATACAAGATGACAGCCAGAGAGACCGAGAGTTTGAATAAAACCGAAGAACGGATTTTAGGTGAAAATTTGACAATTTACACAGAAGCTGACGTGTTTACCTTTTAGAGTCAAACTCTGAGGTTTCAGCAGCAGGTATTTGATCGCCAGTGTATGTTTATGTACATGTCAACCCACATTTTATGACTAATCTCAATGAAAACAGCATCATAAGGGGACTACATAAACTGCAGTTTTCCAGTACAGCTAAACGTTCTTAAATCGATGCATTTACTTGAGAATGACACCAACTTTATATTATATTATTTATATTCATGATTTAAAATACATTTAGACATTTAGAAAGCAAACACTCAAATTAAAGACTATAAATAATTTCTATTTATTTAAACATTGTGTGATATTTTTTTCTATTCAGAAAAACTATTAATTCTTAATAATAAATTCATAATTTTATAATTTTTTTAAAAAATGTTTCAAGTTAATACATATTTGATTTTTTAAAATGTATTTATTTATTAATGCACGATAAGCAATTCAGCTCTTACCACATTATTAATTGTATATATTAATGGCAAATTGCAGGTCACGGTAATATTAAATAATTTTCAGTGAGAAACATTTAATGTAAATACATATTTATTTATTTATTTTATTTATGCATGATAAATAATTTTTTTATTCAGTCCATATCACTTTAATAATTTTATTTATTTTTGGACAGCTGCAGGTCACAGCAATATTAAATTAAATAAACATTAGATTTTTTTTTTTATATACACAGTAAAGATTTTTTATTCATCCCATGTCACATTAATAATTGTACATATTGTTGGCCAACTGCAGGTCACAGTAATATAAAATAATTTCAGTAATACATTTTTAGTGTAAATAAACACCTGATATTTTAAATTTATGCACAATAAACAATTTTCTACTCAGCCCATGCCACATTAATTCTTTGAAATATTGTTGTCCAATTGCAGGTCACAGTAATATTTAAAAAAATTACTGTGTTGCATGTGCAATGTAAAATCTGTGTCATTTAATTACAATTACAAATCTAATAATAAGTCATCTACTATTTAATCTAAAATCTAATCTAATCATTAAACATTTCATAGATAATAATCACAAATATAATAAATTGTGTAATTTCTGCACCACTAACGTAATTTGTTTTGGCACAAAAATTTCTCCGATTTTTCATTTTCTTCATAAAACGTGTGTGTTAGTGTGTTGTGTTTGTGGTTGCCAGGGTGCTGCCATGGCTGTGTGTCACTCACGTGGTGAAGGCGGGGTTATATTTGGCCCCCAGGTAATATGAGTACAGGTTGAACATGCCGATCATAAAGGCCACGAAAACCATGATGAAGATGACCATGAACTTGAAGATGTCCTTCACCGTTCGTCCCAGAGAGATCTGCAACGGGCCGAAGCTCTCGTTTGCCGGCAGGATGTAGGCGATGCGAGAGAAGCTCAGGACCACAGCGATGGCGTACAGACCCTCCGAGATGATCTGAGGATCGGACGGCCTCCACCTGTTCCTCGCTGCAACAGAGATACACACACAGAGCTTTACTGAAAATACAGCACCAATACCATGGTACATTATGTAACTGGAAGCTGATTCAGATTAAAAGGAATGGCAAAGCAATGTCACGCGTGTTCGGGGTTTGATGGTTTGAATTCAAAGAGAATCAGAGGGAGGAAGTCAAAGGTGGAGAATGCTAATAAATACTTTGTTCAGGGATTCTGAGTGAACACAATGAAGATCAAACACACAGTCAACGGTAAAGCTGATTCAAAGATTTCACCAGCGCACACACTCTTTATGTATGTATACATACAGTATATGATTGTGATTTCAAGAGCTGCGATATGTAAATTAATATATATATTTTTTTTATTTATTCATGATAATGATTATTTTTATTATTCAGACGACATCACGTTAATAATTTTTTATATTGTTGGCCAATCGCAGGTCACGTTAGTATAAATTACTTTCAGTGAGACATGTTTATTTTAAATAAAATTTTTATCTTTTTTTATGCACAAAAAATATTTTTCTGTTCAGTTCATGTCACGTTAATAATTTTACATATTTCTGGCCAACTGCAGGTCACAACAAATTATTAAATAATTTCAGTGATACTTTTTTATGTAAATAAACATTTTTTTTGCACAATAAACTATTTTTTGTATTCAGCTCATGTCATATTAACAATTTTACATATTGTAGGCAAATTGCAGGTCACTAATATTAAATGTTTTCAGCAAAAATATTTAATGTAAATAAATATTTGATTATTTTATGCACAAAAAACCAATGCCACGTTAATTATTTTACATATTGCTGTCCAATTGCAGGTCAAATTTCAGCAAGAAATGTTTAATGTAAATAATTTTTTACTTTTAATAATGCACAGTTTTTACAGTGTTGCATGTGTGATGTAAAATATATCCTCTAATTATAAACATAGTAATAATAATTTTAAAAATGAACTCTGTAACAATAATATAGTTTCACATATTGTAGGCCAGTATTAAATAATTTAATCTGTGAAATGTTTAATGTAAAAAAAAAAATTGTTTTGTCGCATGATTTTTTTTTACTGTGTTGCATGTGCAATGTGAAATCTGGGTATAATTATAAATATAATAATAAGTAATCAAATATTTAATCTAAAAAAATTAAACATTTGATGTTTGAAATTTCTTATAAAATAAGTTGCGTAATTTCTGCACCACCAGCAAAAAAAAGAGATGCAAAAATGTTATCAAATTTTTCAATTTCTTCATAAAATGTGTGTTAGTGTGTGTGGTTGCAAGGGTGTTGCTATGGCTGCATGTCACTCACGTGGTGAAGGCGGGGTTATATTTGGCCCCCAGGTAATATGAGTACAGGTTGAACATGCCGATCATAAAGGCCACGAAAACCATGATGAAGATGACCATGAACTTGAAGATGTCCTTCACCGTTCGTCCCAGAGAGATCTGCAACGGGCCGAAGCTCTCGTTGGCTGGCAGGATGTAGGCGATGCGAGAGAAGCTCAGGACCACAGCGATGGCGTACAGACCCTCCGAGATGATCTGAGGATCGGACGGCCTCCACCTGTTCCTCGCTGCAACAGAGACACACACACAGAGCTTTACTGAAAATACAGCACCAATACCATGGTACATTATGTAACTGGAAGCTGATTCAGATTAAAAGGAATGGCAAAGCAATGTCACGCGTGTTCGGGGTTTGATGGTTTGAATTCAAAGAGAATCAGAGGGAGGAAGTCAAAGGTGGAGAATGCTAATAAATACTTTGTTCAGGGATTCTGAGTGAACACAATGAAGATCAAACACACAGTCAACGGTAAAGCTGATTCAAAGATTTCACCAGCGCACACACTCTTTATGTATGTATACATACAGTATATGATTGTGATTTCAAGAGCTGCGATATCACTTTCACACCAGCAGATAGCAGCATTGATAACACATATCAGCTCTATCATACTAGTCATTCTATCTCAGAGGTATGTATTGTGTATGCATGACATTCTCAAACAACCTACCAACAAGTGTTGTTTTAGTATTATTTATATATTATTTTGTATGTATTAACATTTTGAATGAGCTTTTATTTATATATTTTCAGTATCCTTTTTATTGTGTTTTAAATTTTTGTATTTCCTTTTTAATTTGTTTAAATTTCAGTATTTTTTTTTTGTTTTGTTTTGTGTATTTGTCATTTTTTTAATATTCCAGTTTAGCTTTATATTTATTTTAATAGTTGTCAAATTTTAGCAGATTTTATTTTACTTCGTTGCCAAGACAGCATTGCTTATTTTCATTTATTTTGACTTGACGTACTAAAATAATAATAATTAATTTCTTAAACTTTAATTAAAATTTAAAGGGAAAAAATCGAAATATTAATAACAATATAATATCTCAATACTAAAACAAAATAAAAGTTTAAGTTTTTCATCTAATATTTATATTTTATTTCAGTTTTTTTTTTCAATTAACAAAAACGTTAAGTGATAATAGTTATTCAGAATATGACATATGACAGTCAAACCTGTAATACAATTGTTTTTACAATGCACTTTTATTTAATTAAAATCTGCACACTATAAATGATTAAAGTGATATAAAAATAAAACTTTTAATAAAAAAAATATACGGGTATACTTTTTTAAAAATCATGAAAATTACAAAAACAACATTTCTGAAATGTTAATTAAACACACACACAAATGAATTCAAAATATGAATTAAAGTCTCGATACTTAAATAAAATAGAAGTTTTCAATTTAATATTTATATTTTATATTATTTCAGCTTTTTTCAATTATAGTTTTAGATTTGGCTAACAATAACAACGTTTGATTTTCCATCCAGTCAAACAAATAAACGAAAATCTCGTTCATATACTATTTTTTATGGCTATGTATGTTAGTAATTTAATACTAGAATAATAGCAGTACACAAAAGTTAAGGCAGTACATAAGAGTTACAGCTAATCTATTAGTGTCCAGAGCTAATATACAGCTAAAACACAGCAGTGGCTGATTTACTGCAGGATTCTAGTCAGAAAGTGTTGGAGACCGAAGCGTAAGGTCAGACCGGTCAGATTGCAGTCGAGATAATGATGCTAACACTCCTACAGATCTGCATCACGGCCTCTCATTAACAATTCTACCGAAAATACCTGAGCTCACATTATGAAAACTTTCTACAGTCAGATAACTCACATAAAGTTTACTATGGTAAACTAAATTTCAGCTAAAATACCATAAACAGTTGTTTTATAGCAGTACAACTATGCTAAATTTGTATTATCTGCCACTGTCATTAACGAAAAGGTTCTATCAATCTATCTATCTATCTATCTATCTATCTATCTATCTATCTATCTATCTATCTATCTATCTATCTATCTATCTATCTATCTATCTATCTATCTATTTATCTATCTATCTATCTATCTATCTATCTATC